TGAAACAAAGCTTGCAATATGACCTACGAAACTGGACTGGCAGGGGGCTGTAGCCAAAATGAGTTTGTCTTTAAGCTCTTCATCGATTCATTCAAATTAGGCCTTAACATGCTTGAATTGCTGTAGCCAAAATGAGTTTGTCTTTAAGCTCTTCATCGATTCATCCAAATTAGGCCTTAACATGCTTGAATTGCATGAATTATGCTCTCTTGCTCTTTTTGCCTACAAAACACACAAAGAGAGGCAAATAACATAGAAATCTAGGAAACTAAGCAAAAGAAGTAAGTAAATTTGGGCATGTATATGTATGAAATTATGAGCTTAACAACCGGTCGTTTGCTTCGAGCGATCAGTCGTTTTGAGTCTGCAATAAGAGGGAGAATCGTAGGGATTCCTGACATCACAGCAGAAGTAAGATGTGATATGAGAATGTGAGGGATTTTGATTTGAGGAATTTGATTTGAGTATGAGAAATTTGAGATAAGGCATTTGAGGACTTTAGATTTGAGGGATTTGATTTGAGTATGAGAAATTTGAGATTTGAGTATGAGAAATTTGAGATAAGGCATTTGAGGACTTTAGATTTGAGGGATTTGATTTGAGTATGAGAAATATGAGGAATACAATACGAGGAATACGATTTGTGTTTCAAGAAAATTCGATACGAGAATTTAGAGAACACAGAAACCCTGTGAATTCGGTTAAAGGACACAGAAACCCTGTGAACACGGCTAAAAGGACACAGAAACCCTGTGAACATGGCTAAAGGACACAGAAACCCTGTGAACACGGCTTAAGAATATAGAAACTTCTCTTCAATTCTCTTCTCCCCCTGAAGAGAAGGGTATGTCAGAGTCTGATACCATGCTAGAATATGAATATGGTTTTGAATATGTTAGGTTCCTTTATTCTTCTCCATAAGGAGGTATATATAAAAGTTTACATGAGTGCTTTACAAGGAATTAGATCCAGTAAAGAATAAGGAAAATATCTCCTAATTATACAATGATTTGACAACTATATAAAATAGGAAAGTAAATCCCTTAATTAACCAAGGAAATAAATCAATAAAATAGGAAAGTAAATCCCTTAATTAATCAAGGAAATAAATCTCCTTGATTAATTAAGAGACTCACTTCAACACGGTGTACCCCTGCAATTCTCTTTTCTTTTTTCTTCTTGTTTGGTCATTCACACCATACAAAGCAAGTTACATCTACCTCTGTAATTCAATTTTCTGTTTTCATTTGGCTAGTTTGGTGATTCTGGTCTGCTTCATCAAAGTGGCCTTGAGTTCATTACTTGATGATTGGAGACCACAAGTGAGCCCTTGGCTCTGGTTATATACTGTTGGTTTTCAAATCTTTGAGTTTGTTGGCATATTGGTCCAGCCCATGATGGAAGAAGAAAGTAGTCTCCCAGACTCCCACAACTTTCTGGCTCCTTCTCAAGCTTCACGTGATGAGTTTTGGAGGAGTGCTTTTGAGATATTCTTTTTATAATTAAAGGGAATATGGCTGGTGGCTAATAATATTGCATGGAATGGTGATGTCTTTGGTGGGAGACAATGCATGGTCCAATGATAAAGAATGTTCTTTCTCTTTGGCTGGCCATCACGTGGGTTGGTATGCGGTTTCCCTCATTAGGAGAGTTGCTGCATGGGTTTATATAAGGAGGCAGCAACCA